AATTTATTGGCTAGTATACAGCAAAATTACAACCCATAGGCTGCCTGTTAAACAGCTTGAACAAAGGAAAGGGATCCATAACCCTGCAGTATTAGTTTAGTTTAAATCCTCCTTTCTTTGTGCAATAAATGGAATTAATGGCTTTTTTTATATATAAAAAAAGACTTTTTTTACTTACCTGCACGTATGGGCATTTTTCTGGTCTGTGATGGCATTAACAGTATGGATCTATACAGATACAGCCTCGCCAGCTGCTCCAGCTGGAAGTGCAGCAACCAAGAACCATGTGCGCAGAAGAACGAATACTTCTCCAAAGTAGAACCGTTAGGCGTTTCACTGCCTTGGAGCACGCTCACGCCACCCATGACACTAACAGTATTAACTCCATTCTGCTGTGCGTGGTGGTTAGTAACTTTATTTAAAACTAGGAGAGTCAAGGTCAGTCTCTGGCAATTAATTAGCGGTAGCTTGTGTAAATAATAAATGTATGAATAAAATTTCAATCTCTGTACATGCAATTCCAGAAATGTCTTGTATAGCTTTTCCGGTGTAGCCATCTCCAGACACTTATCTGATGCCTTTTTGTTGGCGTTTGTAGCTACCCCGATGTCCTGTTGCCATTTGGTTTGTCTTTTTGCATGTGTGGTGTTGTAGAGCTGCAGGTTTTCCCAAGCTCAGTACAGTTGCTTCTTGGCATTTTATTTTTTTTTCCCGTTGGGTATAAAGTCTGCTTGACTGAACTTGTTTCACACACCCTGTTTATCTTTAACACTAGCATTCTCCCCCTCCCCTTAGAGCAAGGAAAACAAAGTGAATAATTACTTTATTAAAAGATTCCACAGATTGTAAATTGAAAGTGGTACCGAACTCAAATGCCTCTGAGCATGGTACCGTGAGCTGGAGCTGAGCAGGTACTCTTCTCCCAGATAAGCCTACCTTTATCCCCTCGTGTTTGGTAGGGCGTGCTTTAATGTTATGTTACAAAAGGGTATTTCACTTGCACATCGTACGCTGTACCACGCGTACAGACTGCGTACAGACACAAACCAGCCTTGCACATCGTACGCTGTACCACGCGTACAGACACAAACCAGAGCCTGCTCTTCCACTAACATGGTCCCTGCCCCTTAGAACAAGCTCAATCCCAGCAGCCAAGGCTGACTGTTGGAGGAGTTAAGTCTCCACTTTAGACCTTACAGGAAGGGAAAGTGAGGATCAGGCCTGAAATAATTTTGGAAGAAAGCTTTGTTTACAAAGGTGCGGGGTCTCCGTGCTGCTGTGGCTCTGCGAGCAGCATCACTGGGTCTCTGCGGGGTGCGGGTACAGCCTGAGAGGTGCTAGGAACTTGCTCCCCTGCCCAGTTTTAAGCCTTGCCTTCCCACTACACTTACTGGGACGAGCTGGGAGAAACTGTGCTGGCACTGGTAGGGGAGGAGGAAGGGTGTGGAGGGCTGCCGGACGCTCGCTGTGTGGCTTGGAGCCTCACGTGCTTGGGGGTGCTTGGCTTAATTCCGAGGTTTAGTGCTTACACCGAAGTTTGGGCCTGGAAGAGAGTTGGGAAGGGGCTGGCTGGGCTCTCCCCCATCCCGCCCGCCTGCGGTGGTCGGGGAAGGGGATGCAGCCCCCCCCCTCCCCTGGCCCTGCTAATTTTAGCTTAAATAAGCTACATCGGTAACTCTTTTTTTTGTTTCTTTTCTCTTAACTGACCTGTTCAGGAGAAAGCAGCCCTTTATCTGCTTCAAATAAAACAGCACTAAATGTTCTTGCAGCGGCTTCGTGTGCTTGGCTGGGGGGGAGCCCCGGTGCGTGCCGAAAAATGTACCGAGAAAGCGCAATAACCGCGCTCAGCCCTTGTATCTTATTGTTATGATTAATAATAATTATTATTGTCGTTATGTTTCGTATCTGACCCGCGCGGCACGACCCCCGCCCCCCGGCTCCGTGAGTTGCGACAGGCGCCATGCGAGCTCGCGGCTGCAGG